ATAGAGTCTCGTAACTTAAGAATATTCTGAAAAGGGCCGATCGCCAGAGGATATAAAGTTGAGGTACAGCGTCTGAAGCGATAAGATTGTGGTACAGAGTGTAGTAAATCAGGTGCACTCTGCCTCCATTTGTTGTATATTAGCAGAGGCGGATTGGTGAGGTTCTTCAGGTATTATGTTCCATGTCTTAAGTAAAGCGATACCTGCCTCCAGGTTTTTAATTGTATGTATTCTGCCCTGGTGTTTGAAGATCAGTTTAGTGGGGAAACCCCATTGGTAGCCTATTCCGTGATTTCGTAGGGCTTTGGTGATGTTAATCATCTTTTTCCGGTTAAGGAGAGTGGCTTTTGACAGATCTGCATATAATCTGATGTTTGAGTGCGATGGCGGGAGCGGAGGGGGGTTTCTGGCTGCCACCATTATTTTTTTTCTTTTATATGATAGAAGTGGATGCAAGCCAGAACATCTCTGGGGATGTACGCTGATAGGAATGCGGCTTTAGGTATTCTATGCGCTTGGTCTATGGGGAGCTCCATATTTGAGAGAGATATGGTATAAGATATTTCATGTATTGTTGAAGATGTGAGGTTAGCGAATCGTTAGTGATATTTTCCGGGATGCCTCTGAATTTAATATTGTTACGTCTGGAGCGGTCTTCTAAATCCGCTAGTTTCAGGTTTATTTGCTCGATTTCAGAAGCGTGGTCATCATGTGCGTCAATTAACTCGTTATGCGATGTAATTATATCTCCCAATCTCGTTTCAATATGGTGTAACCTGTGTTCTTGTTGTTGAACCGTATTTGAGATCTGGGATATTGATACGGTCAAATCGTTATGTAGTGTTTGTCACAAGGATAATAGCATGTTCTTCATGCAGATATCTGTGATGGGTTGGTCTGAGGCAGGGAAAGACTCTATCAGAGATGATTCTGTAGTGTGCTGAGGAGAGGGATGTATGAAAGGCTGATAGGCAGTAGGTAGATCTGAATCTAGACTGGGTCTAGATTTGGCTGGGCTGCTTGTGGTGGGTGACGGGGGGAGATAACTCACCCGGGTCTCCAGGATATAGAGGAGAGCGGAGCCTGTTGTCCAGCAGCTGGGATCTGTTGTCCCCCTCATGGCTGCTGTGTGCTGTGTCCGTGCCGCCGGCGCCATCTTGGAGTCCTGCAGTGAGAGCAGGGAAGAATTGGGCGAGTTTCCCTGGTTGCCCAGGGGCTTTTCGGTGGTGAGGCATGGCTGGTGAGGGTTATACACCCTTTATCTATCTGCTGATATGTGACAGAACGCTCAGAGTCGGGATGAGCCACAGGTTGTGTGGCGAGTGGACGGGAGCAGAGCTCAGAAACCGTCCATTCGGCCCGCGCATGCACCCCTTCTTTATTCTATTCTATTTTATTCTATTCTGTTCTTTTCTATCCTTTCTTATTCTATTCTTTGTATTATTTTCTATACTGTTCTATTCTGCTCTTTTATATTCTGTTCTTCTATATTCTATTCTATTATTTTCTGTTCTAGTTTTTTTGTATTCTGTTTTATTGTCTTCTATTCTTTTCTATTCTATTCAATTATATCTGTTTATATTCTATTCAATTCTATAAAGCAGCCTAAGTAGGATCATAATCTTATTTAACTTCTATACCCTACTGCATCGATTGAAATATGTTTCCATTTTGAATTTATATTCTAGAAGCAGGGATGGTTAATCAAAGGTTGGTAGTAACTGCCCAGAACCTTGCAAATGGAGAACTTGCACTGCAGGAACACAGAATATGATTGGTGGGTGATACCACAATGTAGTCCTGCAGATTCTATGAGATTTTCTACTGTGGTAGTTTCAACTTCATGCCAGATTTTGGGAAGTTGACCCATGGCTGACAGTTCAGTGCTGCTGCTCATTTTTGTTTTTTTTTTCTCCAGTTTAGTATTCAGGAAATGTACATGTAAGTTTCTAACGTATACAAAAAATGTACTTGAAATTTGAGTTTAAAAAACCTTCTCTCCCTCCATTGGTCAACAGGAACATTAAACAAATGTATCCCTTTTTATATCCAGTCAAGTGGTCAAACTTCGCAACCAGTAAATCTTGTTAAGACAGATCAAAATCCAGCTTGTGCTGCTTGCATGAGCTTTAATATGGATACTGTATTTTCTAATGAAGTGTAGTAGCCTTTTTATTACGTTAATTGTGATTTTGGTAAATTTATAATAAAAATGAATGTGCATATCAGGTATCTATTGAGAAACTGAACTTTGTAGTTAGCTAATATCTATTAAGATATTGAAGATATGGAATAGAAGATCCAGATGGGCAACGTATGCATACTGTATGTGGTTTTCTTAATGTGGAAGGCAAGTCAAAACCTAACCAAGCATAAATCTACTCCCACCCCCATACTAAACCTATCCTATCCACCCTGTGAAAGGAAAGATGCCTATGCTTACCTATTCTGACATCACTCTGGTCCAGTCATATGCTTGGCTCCCAGAACTTCAGTATAGAGAAGGGACAGCTGACAATGCATGCCTCATAGTAAGCCTATGGGTGATGTAGTTGCACAAACTCTGCAGCCATTGTTGGCAATATCTCCTCTACACTGAACCCAGTGCTCAAGAGATCATGTGACTGGAGGTATAGACATCTTCCCTTTTACAGAGTAGATAAACTAGGCTTAAAATGTGGGTTGGAGTGAATTTAAAGTGGCACTAAAGCTTAGTTTTGTTTTTTTTACCTTTTCTTTGCAGTGATTTTGCACAGAGCAGCCCCGATCCCGTGGGCACTCCTTGCTCCTCCCCCTCAAGCAGTGCCCTCAGGGAAAGTCATTTGCCCTGGGGGCACTGTTGTGTGCTCGTCCCCGAGCCACTGCTGTATGCATCCCCACCCCCCTGCTTTCTTCTCATTGGCTCACTGGTTGTGATTGCTCATCAGTTTCCTCTGCTGTCTCAGCCACTAAGAAGGAAGAGTCCCCAGACAGCAGAGGCTGCCAAGAACATAGCTGGAGTGAAGAACAAAAACAAAGCGCACCAACCTTGCCCATTACCTCAGTAAGCAATTGGTAAATGTATTGATTTAAGAAATATACTCACAAAAAAGGAGCAATATAAAAGGCATATAGAATCCAAAGTCGAAGCACTGGATTAGGAGACACGTGCGAATCCCATCGAGAGGGGAGACTCTCAGGGTAAAGCTAATGCTTTTCAAAGGGGGGTCCCTTCTTCCTCAGAGCTAACCAGACTGAGATTGCCCTCCTCTATATATAGTACAGATCTTTATGTGAGCCTTCCCATATGGGTGGGACAAACACATCATAAGAGCACGTGTCACAACAAAAAGCATAAATATAGATAAAAGCATGCTAAAAAGACGATACAATTGAGTGTATATAATTGAGCAGTAAATAATTATTTCATTAGTTAGTTAGAATATGACTGTCATTAATTGTGTCCATAAATGCTAGGTAGAATGTATATACAAAAAATGCCCAGTCCATGATTTCCATAAAACATAAAAATGGATAATAAAAGTGATAAAATGACCAGAATTCAGTATTCCCTTTAGATTGTGAATAAAGCAACAAGATCTCTTGCATAGTGATTTAAATTAAAACCATGTTAAAAGGTCTTTAGAATGTCTCAGCAATGACTTTGGATTCTTTTTAACTATTTCAGAGTGATCAACTATTTTTGGGAGACGTTCTGGCAAAGTATGCTAATCAATGTGTCAAATTTGCAAAATGACAGTGGAGAGAGGAATTTGAACTGCAGAGTTTGTTCTGGTGTTGGTGGAACGCACGACAGTATGTAAAACCCATGTGCGCCTGCACAATGCGTTCCAGCCGCCATTACGGTGAAGGGCACGTCACAGGAAATGCGGCCAAATACTACATCTGTGCAGTACGCTCCAGACGCCGTTCAGCACTCCCTTGTGTGGATCAGAGAGGAAAGAGCCACGGCTGCACACAGCCACAAGCTATTATTACAGAGCCGACACCTACAGGACGGGGAGCCCAGAAACCCAAGTATCTATTGAACCACCCAAAAGGGATGGAAATAAGAAAGGCACAGCATTAACCCTATACTAGATGAAAAAAAATCTATGGATAGCAATCAAAAATAGGGGGAAAACAATGAATATGATTGATCTATGATTCACAATAAGTGCTAACTGACAACTAAAGAATCATAACGCTGTTAAGTTGCATTAATGATATAAACAAAATACTAGTATTGCAGAATGAATTATGTAATGAGTATTCTGAACAATAATAAATGGAAAAGAATAAACCAGAAACAATTGTGAATGTATATAAAAAAAAATATATATATATATATATATATAAATGTGAATGCATGAAAAATGGATAGTCAACTTCATAAAGAATAATTACTGAAAAATCACTGGAACCCTGTCAGAAACAAAGATGAGTAAAATAAAAAAAGAGAGATATTGGAGATATTAAGGATATTTGAGATATTGGACATCGATTGTTCATGAATTGAGTGTATAAATTGCATATGGTCTATACCAAGGTGTGTGTATCTAGGTCATCATTCAAACCTTTTGGAGATAGAGTATTTAATGTAAAAATCCAAAAGCTCTCTCTCCTGCAGAGTCTTTGGTGTCTCCTGCCATTATCCAAATCTTTCGGTATGGCCTGTACTCCAAAGACTCTGCTACCACAGTAATTGCCTTGATGGACTTCTTTAATCACCTTTCGCCCGCCCGCCATATAGTACGATGACGGGCGCAAGGTGGTTCTCTCGTTCTGATAGGACGTCATATGACATCCTTCCATTCTCACCGCGCATGCGCGGCTCAGGGAGCACGCAGCGATCGCCGGTCCGCTGTGTCCCTCGGACACAGCGGATCACAGAGCCGAACATGTCGGCTTGGTCATGTGATCAGCTGTGTCCAATCACAGCTGATCACATGTAAACATGGAAATGCCGGTCATCGGCATTTCTCTCCTCTTGAGCTGTCACGCTGACAGCTCGAGAGGAGAGAAGAGTCGTTAATCGGCTTTCCGCAGAGGGGACATGTACACTGATCAGAACTCTGATGATCATTGTGTCCTGATGATCAGTGTAGCCCCAGCAGTGCCACCTGTCAGTGTCCATCAGTGCCTTGTGTCAGTGCCACGTGCCAGTGCCACATCAATGCCACATATCAGTGCATACCAGTGCACATCAATGCCACATATCAGTGCCCATCTGAGCTGCCTTTCAATGTCACCAATCAGTGCCAGTCAGTGCTACCTATCAGTGCCAGTCAGTGCCACCTAACAGTGCAAGTCAGTGCTGCCTAACAGTGCCCGTCAGTGCTGCCTATCAGTGCCATATATCAGTGCTGCCTTTCAGTGCCCATCAGTGATGCCTGTCAATGCCCATCAGTGCAACCTACCAGTGCCACCTAACAGTGTCCATCACTGCAGCCTCATTAGCACACATCAGTGAAGGAGAAAAATAACTTCTTTACAAAATTGTATAACAAAAACTAAGAAAAAATGTTTTGTTTTCAAAATTTTCAGTGGTTTTTGGTTTGTTTAAGAAAAAATAAAAATCCCAGAGGTGATTAAATACCACCAAAAGAAAGGTCTATCTGTCTCAAAAACATTATAAAAATTTCATATGGGTACAGTGTTGCATGACCACGCAATTGTCATTCAAAGTGTGACAGCGCTGAAAGCTGGAAATTGGCCTGGGCAGGAAGGGGGTATAAGTGCCCTGTAGGCTAAAATGATGAGGGACAGAATATTTATCTTTACAATTCTTTATACTGCTTTTATGTTCACTGATATTAACACTCAGAGGGCGAGAAGTGCAACCTATATAGAATAAGCTACATGGGCACAAGAGACCATACACCACAAAGGACGTCCCACAGTTGATAAACTGTTTAATGGTATATTTCTTGCCATCAGTACCTGTAACGCTTGCGATTCCAGGTGTACTAGCAAGTGCCACAGTTAGGAACCCCACATTTATAGTTACCTTTTTGGTCAAAAAGACCAGACCATGCATCTGAAACAGAGTTAGGGAGGCTGGTGGTCTTCCGAAGCCTTTTGTGAGTATATTTCTTAAATCAATATATTTACCAATACTGAGGTAATGTGCAAGGTTGGTGTGCTTTGTTTTTGTTCTTCACTACAGTTTGTATCGAGCTTCCCCAGCTTCGTGTTAGAGCCACACAACCTTTGATCGGTTTTGGATGAGTATTCATATATCCTATTGTATATTGTTCCATTGACCCTCTTCTGATCTGGGTCCTGAGCGCAGGAGGTGTTGTATTTGTGAGAACATAGCTGGATCAGAGGTAAGGATTGGGGGAGGGGGGGCTGAGGGGGCCACTGCACACAGAAGGTTTTTTTACCTTCATGCATAGAATACATGAAGGTAAAAAAAACCTTGAGCCTTTAGGACCACTTTAAGATTACTTATGTTTTGATTTGCCTTCCTTTAAGGTGGCCATTCCAAGGAGGATGCAGAAAACCTGACTTCTGTCTGGACAGTGCCGATTGGCCCTGTGCTGATCGCATGCACTCTCCCAAAGAAAAAAAAAAGGTCTCTAGCAATACAGACCAAACTGAGCATGTGCAGAGTGACTCCACAGCACGTCTTATCAGGAGATAAGAGGGGGACACAAAGAAGGGGAGGATTAGAAAAGACAGGATCAAACAGCGTTTTTACACAATGCAGTGGATTAACTCCTTAGGTTCCACAGTGAGTATAACAAACATGCTTCACATCATATACAGACTGATTTTACTGTTGTAGGTTTAGTAACACTTTAATGCAGATATTTTGAGTTGAGTCATTGTGTTGGCAGGTCATCATGATTGACATGGATCTACATGGCTAGATGAAGATAGATAGACTAAATGACAGACTTCCAGCTGATGTTTGGGATGTAGAGTGTATATGTAGGTAATAGGTAATTATTGGCTCAAATAAAATAGGGATTATTAACAAACCCAGAATAGATCAAGTCATTCAGTTTATAAATAGAGACAAAAGAATAGACAAAACAGACATACAAACATATCCTATGATTATGGATAAGTAACTTAAAATATGGACATATAGCTGTAAGGCTAACGTGTTTTTTTGGTAAGCTCTTATGTAACATGACACCTTGATGAAGCTGTGTTATTAACCACTTCACCACTGCCCTATAGCAGATATACTGCTACGGGTTGTCAGGGGTGCTCAAAATCACGTGTATATATACGTGATTTTGTATTTTCGGGTAGGGGGCATGCGCACACCCTACCAGTGCCGCTATTTGCGGCTTCGGATGTCAATCACCGAGTCCCGGCCAGTGATTACTCGCCGGCACCCAGTGATCGCCAAGCATTTCCGATGGAGGGAGAGAACTGTATGTAAACAATACAGTTCTCTCCCCTGTCAGCTCCTGCACACTACTTTGTATGACTCCGCATAGCATTACAGTTGAAAGCAGTAACACAGCACACAGTAAAACAGCACACAGTTAACCCTTTGATCCCCCACATGTTAACCCCTTCCTGCCCCATGCCATTAGTACAGTGTCAGTGCTTTTTATTAGCACTGATCACTGTATTGGTGTCACTGGGGATGTCAGTGACACCAAGTCAGTTCCCTCCAGTGTCAGAATGCCCGTCGAAAGACCGCTATAAGTCGCTGATCGCTGCCATTACTAGTAAAATAAAAACTTCCAGTATATATACCGCTATATATAAGCTATAACTTAATAAAACAAATTAATTTACACGTATTGGGATTTTTTTTAGCAAAGACATATAGCAGAATACATTTTGGCCTAAATTTATTATGAAATTTGATTTTAAAATGTTTTTGCTCAAAATTGTCGGTCATTTTTTTTTTATAGCACAAAAAATAAAAATGCACAGGCGATCAAATACCACTGAAATAAAGCTCTATTCATGGGATAAAAAGGACATAAATTTCATTTTGGTGCAGCATTTCATGACTGCGCAATTGTCAGTTAAAGTACCGCAGCACCGTAACGCAATAAATTACCTGGTCAGGAAGGGGGGTAAATCCTCTGGAGGGTAAAAACACTTATTTCTGCTCAAGACTGATAGGAAATACAGTAAAATAAAATGAGGGCTTAGGGACACACACAACTAGTTAATAATAAAAGAGGTAAAAATAACCAAATATAACATTTGTTCCACTGGTAATACATACAGAATAATTGATACAATTTGTAGATGAATGCACAATGCCATAGACTTATATGATTGTTTTAATACTTAAAATCTGACACAGTTTCTATTATGGTACAGAATCCATACTATTTATACATGTGTTCATCTGTTCGGCTACTATTACATCTTCTTCGCTACTATCCCTTTGTTGCATGGTCAGACACAGTAATAGTAATTCAACAAAAAAACATTTGACATAAAATATATTTCTAGCCTAGTGTAGATACCAGCTAGTATTTCCTCCAATGAAAGCTGTAATTTTCTATTAGAACTGTCAGTCAATACAGATGACAAACATTGGCAGTCATGTTTCCGTTTTGCAAACCCCTTTTGCATTAGAAGTGTACTTTCACTTTACTACCAGCTGTACCTAAAAGTCAGTTTTTAATTGGAAGTTTTACTATACTAATTTGAAAACACTTCATTGAAACAGACAGCTAAAAAGACTTTAATTTGGAGAAGAAATAATCTCTTGAACTAATTTACAATAGATACCCCATTAGTCAAAAAGAAGGCTTCCAAATAGAGCTATTTGAATGAGAAAGCAGTAGATTTGTTTTCAGGGCAGGATGGCCCAGTAGGGATTTCCAGGCTATTTACAAATTGTAGAGAAGGGAATACTGCTCCTGCAGGCAAAATATGTACCGTGGTAATGGTGATTTGTCTGGCAGCAGGAGTTTGCTGGGATCCTGACAGGGGTCTTGTCAGCATTTAGGGGAAGGTTGTATTGATTTCAATAGCCTAAATGAGCCTGTAATGAAGGGAAGCCAAGCCTTGTGCTCACTCTCACTGTTCAGGACCATGGTCAGTGGTGCATTTACTAGCATTGTCTATATCCGTCTTGGTCCTGACATTAACCACAGTGGTTTTCACCATTAAATAGCAAAAGCGTAAAATTCACCTATTGGGGGCTTTCAGGCAGAGCCTTATAAAAATACTGGGCCAATCTGTTACTTTTTATACCCTCCAGTTGAACTTTTCTATTCAACTGCAAGCCAATTAAAGGCATTTTATCTCTAATAAAGAGAGGGGGAGCTTCCTATTTCAGGCTGAGAGCGTGCATTAAGCCCTTTAACTCCCCTAGATCTAAATGTAAATGCATTTAAGGTTAAAAAGCTAATTTTAGGATTCAAAGTAACCAATTTTAATGTATATTTGCACGTGTTTTGAGATGGCAGTAGAAAATAAAATGCTTGTATATTTTATATTTTTGTGTTTAAAGTAATATTTTATCAGTGGACCTTGCTCCTAATTTAAGCATAAGTGGTATGGATATAAGTAGCAGAAATCCTGCTGGGAAATATAAGAAAAAAGGTGTATGTTTGCTCTTTTAAACAGATAATAATATTTTTTAATGAGACAAACTGTGTTGGTGTAGTATAGGATCTGGTAATACCTGTGATCCACTGGGTTTAAGTCTAATTTCATTAATTTTCTACATACTCTATAAAGACTATAAAGCTCTATATAAAGACTTTATATGGCTGGTTTTAGAGGGTATGTCAGAATTTATTGTACATCATGTTAAGTCTGCTTCTGCCCCAATCTGCTTTGCCCATGCTGCATACACGTGAAAATCTTTCCCTTCATATCTGCAATACATATTTCATACAAGCAGAACAGACAAGAGGATGAAGTTCTGCGATGCAGCATATATGTTGAAAGGCTTGGAACACAAGGAGATTGCTTACGGATTCTAGAGCCTCTCATGCTTTTAAGTAGACTCTGTCAGTAGTGTTTTGGAACAACTGACCATCAGACCATATTCTACCCTGGTCTGTTTAATCTTGGTAAAATACAAGGAAGTGACTGTGTATGTTTTGGTAGAACATACTGTAACTGCAAATGATTGCTGAATTTCTGTGGATGTGTTTGTGTGTACTTGGCATTCTAGGAGATTAACACACTGTTACTAAACTTTGATTTCTTATAGTTTCTGAAACTACACTAACTCGGTAGAAGAATTTGACAGTGATTTATCTGGTGGAGCACCAGGCGTATGATACTTCTGTTCTTATCTGTTTAATGTTATCAGAATACAAGAGGTAACCATATATGTTTTAGTAAGAGCTACAAATGATTACTGGATTTCTGTAAATAAGGCAGAATTCTACTTTCAATGTTTAGGGGTATATACAGTTGTGTTCAAAATAATAGCAGTGTGTTGAAAAAAGTGAAAAAAGCTCAAAATCCTTCTAATAGCTTTTATTTCCATACACACAAATGCATTGGGAACACTACACATTCTATTCCAAATCAAAACATGAAGAAAAATATATCAAATTTGTGTTGTTCCTCTAAAAAAAATTGAAGAAAAGTGAATATTAGACTGTTCA